AATTCTTAAATTGAAGTTATCCAACAGATCTTCATAACTGGGGGTATTTTGTAGGAGGCCTAAACTTTTTTGCTTTTATGAGAGATTTACATTGAGCCTCTTCTTCATTCTCTTAATCTCTTTTTTCATATAATGCTTTTCCATTGTTTCTGCTCTCTTTCTTTTTCCTCCTCTTTGTTGTTGTTGTTGTTGTTCATTTGTTTGTTTCCCTGCCTCCCTCTCCTCCACTTCACCAGACTATATAATTTTATAAATATTTTGGATTCAGAAAGCTCTGTATGTTTGTCTTTCTAAATCTTATTGTTATTATTATTATTATTATTATTAGTTACTTTATGGAAGCATGCAGAATGATATATACAAAGACAGTGTTGGATTTGAGAAGCACATGACAAGATCTTCATGAGAGTTGAAAATGATTGGGTAGGGCTGATAAACTGAGATAAGTAAGGGAAATTAAGGAACTAAGCAAGTGGTTTATTTACTGACAAACAACTGTAGCTGAGTTGGAAACTGAATTTATATTGCACAGTCTCATGCAGATGCCTTTAATCACAAGGATATGCCTTTCCTTCTCAGAACCTTAAGCAAAAAATACCTAAGCACGACCTCTCAGTTTTAGGATAAAGCTATAGTGAATAATGAAGAAGTTAAGACTATGATAGTGAAGATGTTTTTGAAGTTTCAGCCTTTGGTATCCATTTCAGTTTCAGTCTCCTACACTCTTAAGTCCCTATGATTCCCTCTTAAGTCCCTAATGAATTTGTACCTCTTTTTTGTCCCCCCAGATACAAGATTGGCTAATTATAACTGGGGGCATCTTTACAGTAGTTTTGTCCTCCATGCCTACAGTATCTAAGTATCTCAAGAAACATTCATAGTTTTTAAGGCCTTGGAAAATGAAGGACAGTGTTATTTCAGTTGTACTGAGGCAAAAGAGAGTAATGATATTTGGGGAGTGGTGCTACATAATAATGGTAAATCTGGATGAAACACACTTTTCTTGTTCTATGGAAAAACTTTAAATTCTAAGAAATTGTTCCTTAGAGTGGATGAGAAATTAAAATTATGATAACTTTTTATGAACTACAATGAGAGAAAACCTCCAGCATTAGTTTGGATCTGTGGAGAGAATTTAAGATCTTGATGGTCTTAAATTGTCAAATGAAAATTTATTTTTTTAAAAAAACAGCTTAGTATTGGGAATAATGTTAAATAGGAAAACGGGTTTTTTTCCTGCAATAATGTTTTAGTTAGTGTAGTTTGTCAAAGGTGGTTGACCTGTAAGGAAAAAAAAAGTTTTGTTTTGCTGAATCTACATTTTCAGCCAAAAAACATGTCAAAAAATCCAAGTAGCTATAGTTCCTGGCAAAGAAAGTAGAGGGAAGCCACAGCTTTTTGTGGTCTTCCACAACCTACATTACAGCTTGAATCACTTTAGTAAAGAAGACTTGTACATAGGTTTTCAAAGAGTTTGATAAACTATTGGTGTAAATCAGCAGAGCTGCGCTGAGGTCAGTGAAGTTTGTCTGCCAATCTGCTCCTAACTGTGCCACGAAGATATGTTTCTTTTCTGATACAAAAAAAAGCACAGATATTATGTATAAGTTAATACCCTGTACTGGCAGGAGATGGTATTTTCCTCGAGTCTGTGAAGGAAGGTGAAAGAGGCAAGAAGCAAAGCTGGGAGACACACAAAAAGAAAAACGAAACCAACCTAAAACTCTGCCCCAAACCTAACAAAGAAGTTATTGCCTTTACCACTACAATCTTGTTTTTGGAGACCCAACATCAGTCACAAAGCAGATGCTGGCAATGCTCCTGCTCAGCAGGAGACTATAAACATGTCCCAGGATCCCACGGTTTATGTGATTATTTACACAAGTGCAGAGTAAATGGAAGAGGTTATCCCTGCTAGCTGGTACTCATGGGTATGTGGGTTCCCTTTGCTTTGCTTCAGTGTCAGGGGCAGCAGGGTAGGAGTAAGCAAAGCTTAGAAAATCCAGCCCAAGGAAAATGAGGTAGATTATTGAATGTTGAAGTAGGATACTTTCAATAACTGATCTGTTGATTTTGCTTGCAGCACTGAAAAAGGTGGAGGATATGGAGCAAGTGGGAGGATAATTCTGTTGGTTTAAACCCAGCATTTTTTTCTTAGGTCTGTAATACTTGCATTTAATGTGATTGTTATTTTGTAGGAAAAAAAATAGTAAAATTGAACTAAATTTTAAGAAAGTACTACAGATTTGAGTTTTAAGGGGAATACATTTCATATTCAGCATATCAAACTGAATGATCTGTACTTTCAGAAAGCTTGCCTAGGCTGAAATAACAATTCTGAAAGAGATTTGTAGTCAGTGTAAATCTGCATTTTAAGAGCTTGCTCAATCATTCCACCTTAGACAAACAAATCTTTGTTTTACATCATCTACATTCTTATTTCTGAACTGTTTCATACACAGAATACTTGTAAGCATGGACCTTTATGCACAGACTGTTGAATAAAGATAGACTGTGAAACTGGAAAGGGGAAATTTAGTTGTAGCCTAATTTTACTGCTAGTAAAAGAGTTACACCACCAAGGAATTTGGCCCACTGCTTTGGAAATTAGAAGTCAGACTTAATAGTGGGTGTAAAAAGAAGAGGGGCAGTCATTACTGTTGAAACATTATGTCGGGAATTGTGTGCATTACAAGGGAATAAACATGATAAAATTAGTTCAAGGACTTGTTGGTCTTCTATTAGCAAACAGGTTACCATAACTGGTTTAAACCCATCCTTGGCAAAATTTAGCTGATTCCTGTGGATTTAACCCGGGGATTAATTTAATCTTCTGTTTTCATAGTCTTCAAGCCCAGAAGGGCTATTAGTCTGTATACTGCGGCCTGCCATAGGCTGCAGAATTCCACCCAGTTATTCAGCATCAAACCTAGTAACTGGTATGTTTTGAAAAAAGGCATCTTTCTGCAGTGAAATTTCAAGGAATGAAGGACGTGCTGTTGGACATTTGTTGGGGTGATCAACTGTTCTTTTTCTTGAACAAGTCTGAGACTTTGGTTCTGTTCCTAATTCTCTGGCAGTCGAACTTCCTCTCCATGCTCTAATTTCCCTGTCTATAACTTGGAGATAGGATATTTAATCTCATCTGGAAATAAACTTAAATGCCACAGCAAAAGACTGATAAATGCGAGTAAAACATCTCTCTGTGATTGTAGTCTGCTCTCTCCTGTATCCCTTTCGTTCTTCTGCATTTCTCATTTTGCTTTTCCCAGCCATTGATCTGTGATACTTTTACTGAATGCAGTAAATGATGAGCTGACCTTCTACTGCTTTCTGATTGTACCTACTAAAATTTTATCTATGTTCTCTTAAAGAAAAATAAAAATTAAACAAATTTTCTCTAAAATTGCATGCATTCAAACAGAAAAGATACCAAGTTAGCCTTTCCTTTCTTCATAATACAGCACTTTGGGAGCATGTGCTGTTACTGTTATTTACATAGCTGTGTAATGAGATGGGAGGTTCACAAGTTTTTTTTTTTTTGTTTCATGTCACATTTCAGCTTTCTTTTAGTAATTACTGTAGCAAATCTGTCTGCTGAGGATCTCATAGTTGTGTCATTCCAGCCCCTGGGATGTTCATGCCATACTGAAGTTGGAATTCAGATTTTTTGTCTCAAAACACATCGTTTCAAGTGCCCAGAGACAGTGGTATATAGGGCTTGTGTTATGTTCCTACCCAGAAGAAACTGTCCTGCAACCCAGAGGCTTGGTTCTGGATTGTCTCCTGTTTCAAGCTGAACATTTGTAGCTCTCCATGCAAGTACAGAAGAGAACTGACTGATGTTTTCCTTGTTTCTGAGTTTTCAGGACAGGGACTGGCAGCTGGAGTCTTTGTAAAGAAATGATTCATAACCAAATCAACCCATGGGACATAGGCACTTCAATATTATTATAGTGACATGTACCTTAGAAGTGAGTTCTAAAGATTAGATCATACAGCAAATGGAAGCCCCAGTTTCCAAGTGTGACATCACTGAGAGGAAAGGCTCAGGAAGAGGGTGCAACCTCTCTGCTTATCTTGGTTTAGCATTTTATTAGATGCTAGGATCAGTCTAGTCCCTATTGTTTCCACAAACAATATGAGGCTCTTGTCTGCAGGCTGCTTTAGGACGGGTTGGCCCCTCTCAAGGCCTACCAACAAGAGCTCTGTAGTTGCTCTTCTTCCCCTGTTATTTGCCAACTGAGTGATACTACAGTCACTCTTGTCTTTGCCTCTGTAGGCCGTAGGGATTGGTAACAGTTGCTGTTTTCCCCATAACCTTTGTGGTGATTTTCCTGATCTCTCTTCAGCTGATATTCCTAGATTCCTGTCTCCTGTTCCTGGTGGTTTGGAAGGTTTGGTCCTGGGAGCTTGTCCTGCCTCTCCATCAGTCCCCTCTCCTGGTGCTGCCCTGTTGCAGCCTTGGTCCCTGGGGGCTTGTGTGTCCTGCCTCACCAGCGTTTGCCTTGCCTGGTGCAGCATTCAAGCGACACCTTAATAAAAAGCTTTCCTCCCTTATCTCCTCTCTGCTGCTGTGCCACTGGGCTGGGGATCGGGTTCCCATCTCTTTCACACGCACACCTGGTCATAAAACACTGGGTTTGTTTTTAACCTCAAACCAGGGAGCTTTAATTAAAGAGACAGTGACCTCTTTTATGAGTTTGCTCGCATAGGGTTTCAGGGCTATTGTCACATACAGCTCACATAACAGAGCACCATTGCACAAAGCTCCATTTACACATCCTTCCCCGGCTTTTTTCCTCTCCTCTTTTTGTTTTCCAAACGCAGAAGGAGGTTGTTTTCTTGTTTACCCCTAGGCAAAGTTGTTTCTCATGTTAGTAGCCTATGGCTAACAGTCTCTTTGAAGAGAACCTACCTATCTTACTAACAACACATAGATGTCATTAGACTTGGAGAAATGTTATTTTTTAATCTATGTAGGAAATAATCTTCCTCACCTTAAATTTACTTGATACGAATGACTAGCTAAAATGGATCTTGTCCTCTGTTCTGTTCTCCTTAGCTAGTTCTCATACCTGTGTAGTGGAATTTGTGTGTTTTTTATGAAAAATACTTTTTTATTATTCACTGTTATATTTATATGTATTCATTAATTTTCAGGTGCAATTAGTAGTCAATAGCAAAAAATAGATTTTTTTTTATTTTTAAAAATTATAAGTGCAGGGACAGACATTAGAACTTGTCCACAATTTTACCCTGAATAGTTTACATTTAATTTAAAGAAAAATTTTCACAAATACATCCATGTGTTCCCATGCACTTGTATTCAAAGATGCACAATCAGGAAGACACACAGAAGTGTCTACACAGACCAGAACTTATTTGAGGTATGCAGACTTCTGAAAAAGGCACTCATTCAGAGAAAAGAGACAGCTGGGACACAGATACAAGCAACCACATAATTGGCAGAACACAGAAGCACACACAGAGGATATGCACATACAAAAGAAAAGAATAATATATGTGGAAGAGTGTTGTTTCCCTCATCATACACCTTGTGTGTAGACCTTCAGAAACAAGTACAAGGACAACCCTGCAGGAAAACATGTATGTAGAAACTTATGCCCAGAAACTCTGTAAGTAGTGTGTAAGTTACTGTGGACAGGTCCTGGGATTCTCACTGTTCAGGTGCTGGAAGTCTCACTGAATTATGTAAGGTTTTTGCTTTCAGTGATGTTACTTTCAGGAAAAGCTCACTAATATGAAAAAATATTACATGGTTTAACTGCAAAGATTGTAGACATGAGAACACATGCCCTGACATATACAGATAGGTAGATATATATTGATGCAAATTCAGATAGTTTTTTTTAACTTAATATATTAATACAGATTTGGCTAGACACAAATATACCACACACACAGACCCTTAGACACACATAGATATACCCATGTCTATGTTCATTGAGAGAGACTCACTCAATATCTGTGTATGTGTGTGTTGGGAGAGGGTCATAACCTCCTCCATTCTTCTCCTGAAGGGGTTTGGATAATGAAGGGAAAAGAAATGAGGCCTGGGGCTAATTTGTAGTGGCATTTCCTGGCCTCTCTTATGCCAATGAAGCTCCGTTTCATCTTTAGCCTTATCAATTCTGCAGTCATGTGGCTTTCCGCTTGGACGCCTCTGTCTCTTCACCCTCCTCCCCAATCTCCGATGCTAATGGAAACTTCGTTAATGCCATTAATCTGCTGACCGGGACAAGTCAAAAACATATCCACACAATCTGAGCCAGGGCTGCAAGCGTCCTGGGGCTGCCAAACAGAGGCACCCCCTGTGTTCATTGCATTCCTGAAGGAACTTCATATTGATTTATTTCTTTCTTTCCTTCTCTGCTTTATTCCGTGACAACATTGCATTCTTCAGAACAGGCATCAAGTAGATGGCCTTTTCTTCCTGATCCCTCATCATGATATTTCTGCAAGAATTCTTTCCCCAGTTGCAGTGCTAGTGTCTTCTTTCAGTGCCCCTTTATGGCAGCCTTTTTGTTCTATTGTCATCTTTGGTGACCAACTTGTTATTTCTGTTGCCTAACAGAATTTTGTAACCATCCAAATGTTGTGTGAATCTGCCTGGACTGGTCTAAAATATAAAGCTTTCTACTCTACCTTGGTATTAGCAAGTTCGTCATTATCCAACCACTTCTATTGTTATTGTTGTTCTAGTGGCAGTTGCCATTAGCTCCCTTCTTGAAGGGCCATGCTGTTGGGGTGCCCTGTCCTCTGAAATGTTCAACAGCTCCCCAAAATCACTTTTGAGGAGTGATGACGTAGCTTTTCTTTGCATTTTACAAGTAGGCCAGGTTTTGCAATACTTCACCATTGTCTTCTATCCCAAATGAGTATCATTTTTGGTGATATACCATTTTCTTAGCTATGACTTCAGCTTTCCCTGCCAGTGTAGCACACCTGCAGAAACTTGAAGCTCTGAGCAATGACTCACCGTCTCCTTATTTCATAGTATTGTCCAGTGGCTGAGCATGTGGAAGTTCCTCATGTCGGGATTATGCTGGCTGAGGTTTCACTGAGAAGAGAAAATAGACTCTGTTTGATACTTGCTTTAGGAAAAATTTCTGTGATAATCAGAGTTCATAGCTAGCTCTTGAGAATGTCAGGATGTTGAGTGATCTGTATTTGATCTAGGAATCTTTATATACATAAATGAAATAGTGACAGTGGAGGAGGAAAAGACAGCTAGGAAAGGCATGCCGTCAGAGTTGTGACATATGGATATGTTTAGAAAAAAAGCATCAAATTGATGAAAACAAGGAGCGAAGTTGGCAGTTCATGCTGAACTTTGATGATGTCAGGCTAAATCTGGAATGATATTGGCCATGACAGAAGGCTGAGCCTTAGTTGCCACCTTCACACAGACATCACAGTAAGAAGGGATTGTTTTACAAGGAGAGAAGACAAAGAAGTTTTAAGTTCTTCAGTGCTGGCAGGGGTTGAAGTCAAAAGTTCATCCTTATGTAGTTTTGGGTATAGAGAATGCAAGTCATTTTCCAGCCAGGAGATGCTCCACTGAGCAGAGCATCTTCCTTCTCCAGCCAGTTCTGGGATGAGATATCCTTTTAAATCTTTAGGGTGTATGAATGCATTGCACTGTCTAATACAGAAGGATTCATGCTGATTGGTACCATGCTTATTTTTTGGGCATCACTGAATGAGAGGGGAGGGGAAAAAAAGTAGAGATTGTGTTATAGCTTGGTATAAAAGAAAAAAGGAAACCACAATACTCAGTGCCCTAAAATTCCTATTTAAACGAGTGGGACAGTATCTGTAAATGTAAGACCAGCATCTGCTGGGGCACTTTCAAAGCTTCAGTGAAAGCAGAGAACCCAAAATCAAATACTTGTAGCCTTAGCAAGTGACAGGACAGTTAACAGGTCATACAAGACCACTTACTTTCATTCAGCTGTTAAATTTGCTTTCTCTTCTTCATATCCTGTTACTTGGGATTTGAAACTGAAAAGCTGGGGGAGAAAAATTAAGTTCCTATAGTGAAGTCTATTGTCCTGGGAGATGCTGGTAGGAGATTTTTAGCATGTTTTCTCTGAACATGACTTAAGGAAGCTATTGGTACCTAGGTGAATTTATCTGGCATAACATGCAATACCACATAGCAATAATACACAGCCTGTGATGTTGCAGTGTGCTAATCGTGGAGTCTGTTCCACATGCATGGAAGGGATGATTGTGACACATGGTCCTGTACAAGGAAAAGGGAAAAAGATCTTCAAGTGAGCAAGTAGTTCATGCACACCTTAATATAGAAGGAGAAACACCAGGAAACCACGCCCTATCCAAGGTGTAACATTGTCCTGCCCGGCAATCTTGGCAAGTTGTTTACCTCTTCATTTGTCTAGACTTTTCCTGGTTAGTTCACTCTTACCACAAACTTTTTGAGAAAGAATAGTTTCTTCCTGTGTGTGCATCCAGCTAGGGAATCGGACCTCATCTTGGCTAAAGTCTCTCTACAGTAATATAACCCCCTATGCCTTCCTTCCATATGGCAGGAATTGTGCATTAGACTGAGAAGTAAAAGGTGCTTTAAGCTTCTGACTGGTGCCAAGAAATAAATCAATTCAGCAAAGCCTGCATTAGCTACCTTGGGTACTGGGAGCATCCCAGCTGTGGCAGCACAGAGCCTGTCGAGGTTAAATTTGGATCATGTCATGATGCAGCCTTCATGCTGGGAAAGAAGTTTAAAATGTCTGTGCTGTATGTCCTTGGAAAATTTCTATTTGAATGCCACTGCTATACACAAAACTGCTGCTGCTGTGGTTGGTATGCTCTGACCCATCTTTTGCTCAGTCTTTTCCAACTGCTAGCCTCATAGGAGCTGTCATACTGCTATGCAGATTCTGCCCAGCTTCCATTTTGTTATGGAAAACGTTCCAAAAGTGGTGGTGAATGCAGTTTTTCAATGAAACAGTATTTTGTTGCCGTTGTGACACTCCAAGTATATAGAGTAGACAAAGTTTGTAGTTTGAAATAATGTCACTATATCCGCCTTTTTTGTACCTTGTTCTGTTTTCTTTATTACAAGATTTATTTTTTTTTTCATGAATTCTATGGGGTGGTACTCAGGCAATGTAGCTTTTATTTCTGTTTCTGTTACAAATGTGCATTTTGATTGTGGGATAACATACATCAATAACATACATAAATAACAAAGACATAAAAGTCTTTGCATTATCCAGTTGTAAAGTGAGGAAGATAACAAGTCCTTCTTTCATTTTTTTCTTTCTAGTCTAAGGTAGACTTGCCTGGCGCAGCATCCCTTTCCGATCAGTGAGCCACAGCCTCGGCTGAGGAGCTACTCTTGTCTCTGTTAAGCTTTTTTGTGCAGGCTTCTGGATTTAGACCCAAAGGCTGGAACTCAACCTCTATTCAAGCATCTCTTGGTGTGTTGTGATGTTGGTATGCTTTTGTATCAGTGAAGGATAAACAAAACAAAGTATTTTAACACTCTCTCCTTTCTGTTTACCTTTATAGTAGTAGTATCTTTGCTGTCTTCTTATTGTAAATTTGTCTTCATTCTACTAGTGAGTGTCCTGTGAGTAATCCTTAAGCTTTCCTGGGGGGAAGACCCAATATTTTGATGAGTATGGCCATTTCTGGTGGTAACTGCAGGAAAGAGCTTTGTTGTTTTAAATTCAAGAATGATGTAACAAAATCTGAGGAGTGGCCTTGCCTGGAAACATTTGGACTTGCTGGTTCATGGCTAGTGAAAATTGATGTGACTCATCACAAAATGTAGTGCATTCTTTGATGTAGAGGGCAGAGAATTAGAAATTCTCACAAATGCGAATGAATCTATGTTTTAAAATCCTTGCAATCAGCAAGGGAAGAAACTGCTTTGCTTTAATGAAAGCACAATAAAAACTAATACTTGCAGAGTTTATTTAATTCAAAAATTCCAGGCTTATTAGACAACTGGTGATAGAACATGATTCTGACTCTTATTGGTTCATAAGAATCATGTTTACTACATTCAAAATACAGTCACTTACAGGATGAGATATTGGAGATGTTTAACTTTTAGAAATCCCCACAAACCATGGGGGTCAAGTTAGGACAGGAAAAATAGAAGGGGAGGGATGCAACTGAGGGAAAGAGTTGTCATCCTTACAACCACTGCCAAAAAGATCAGTCTTGTAAAGTCTTGCAGCAAAAAACGTTGCAAGAACCTCTGGTTTACAGCTTTAGTGGAAAGTCCTTAGGTCTTGCAGGTGGTGGCTCTGACAGCCGGCTGGGAACACCAGCACACTGCGTTAGCAGCACTGCGGTACTCGGCACAGCTCCTTGGAGGACTGCGGAGCAGTGAGCCAGCCAGGCTCACTTATGAGAACTGACAGGATCACAGCACAGATGACTCCAAACCACTCTGCTTGGCTTGTCAGTGTTTAAACAGGGGCAAAATCCTACCCTGTTTCCTCAGAAAGACCGTAGTTGAATGCCGTGGACTTGCAAGGGAACAGGTTTATGCTCTGATTTTGCAGAGGGTAGAAGGGAGTGATGGTCCTTGTTTCTAAAAACTTGCAAAAGCTGTTCAGTTTCATGTAAGAAAACTGACCAAATCAGGTACTGAGTACTTAAACTGCAGTCGAAATCCTTACTCTGAAAAGCTTGTAGTCCAAACTGTTTCTTTTGAATGTGATTCATGAAACCATGACAGGCAATTTGCACCTACTCCTTGGAATACCCTTCAGCTGCAACATCCACCACCACGTCAGTTCTTGCGTCTGTGCTGGAATGTAAGAATAAAATTTGAGAGCTATCAGTCTATTAGTCCAAAATCTTGGCAACTCCTGATTTAAACAGGCAAAGGACATACTGTTAAGTGTGATTTATAGAGTGTATAAATGTACTGGTTAAACCATAATTCATGGTTGATTTTTCTGTCTCACACATGAACTCATCTACTCAGGGAAACTTCAACTCGTCTTCAGAGACACATCTCTTTTGTGTATGGCCCCAAAGAGAAGATATGGAAGGAAATGTTTCTTTGCAATACTTAAAGAAGAACTGTAAGAGAAGCTGGAGGTTGGCACTGCAGCAACTGCTGCTCTAGGATAATGTTCAGGGCTTTGGTGCTAGCAAGGAATAAAGACTCTGTTGGGTTTTTTGTTTGTTTGAGGTTTGGGTTTGGTTTTTTGTTTGTTTGTTTGTTTTGTTGTTGTTGTTGCTTCTTATACCACAACTGAGGGGATAACACCTTCTCTATTCTGCTAAATTCCATCTAGCATGAGATGCTAAAAGCCATTGTCATTTGTAGTTTGGTTGCCTATAGGAAATAAATGTGCTGGTCTCAACCAATTTCCCTATGGGTGACAATAATGGCAATTTAGTTGTTTATTTCAGATTCTTCAAAAGTAGAGTCATGAAGGAGGGTTTGTCCTATTGCTGCACTTATTTTATGATCTCTTTAAAAGAAAGAAGAGGATTAGGTCTTGGGATAAAGTCCTAAGATTGACCTCGATGTCCAGAGCTCCAGCCTGACCTTAAATCCACACAGAGAACAGTTACTACCAGACACTTTGTGAAGTGAGTCTGGGCTCCACTTTTCATCTGACACAGCAGCAGTTTAGGAATCAGCACTCTGTTTGCCCTACTTACCCCGGTACTAGCTTCTAACACAGGAAAGTTGCTGGCACAGGCACCAGACTGTCACTTTTGTGACCGAGGGAGGAAAGAGAGGAGTCCTCACCCCATCTTCCTTTTCAGACAGTCTCCAGGAGTTTTGGAAGGAGCTTTTTACAAGCCTTCTTCTATTGTTGGCCAGGAGACAAAGGACGGAGGAGCTGGATTTAAGCATAATGACGTGAGCTCCTCCATGCAGAAAAACCCAGCTGAGAGACCCCCCCTGCTCCACACACACACAAAAAAAGGAAGAAAGGGGGAGAAAATCTTTGAAAATAACTAATTAAAGTTGTTTTAGCCTCTCTCTCTCCCCTCCAAGGGCGCCTAATCTCACAGGGGGCAGAGGGGGAGAGAGGCAACAGGAACAATGAGAACCATCCCCCCCTTCTCTACACCCCACCTCCTGGTCTCTGAGGTTTTAAAACAAGAGGCCACTTTAAGTTAATGAGCTATCAGCTGACTGGGAGAAGTCTCTAATGAAGCCTGGTGTTCACACATTCCCCAGCTTGCTGAATAGGCCTCTGCCAACCCCATAACTGTCAGAAAGTTTCATTCATAAAATCCACATGCTGGGGGTGGTGGTGATGGGGGCAGGGAGGGAGCTGGAAGGGTGGAGATGGAAGAGAGGAAGTGTGGGGTGGTGGTCTCCATATGGAGCAGTCAGCCCCAGAGGCCAAACAGGAACATGCATGGCTGGGGCTGGCAGGCTGGAGGATCCCGGGGACCCGACTCCACTCTCCATTGTCTGGCTAGTAATTAGGAAGATCCTTCACATGGTTCTTGGAGGACATTGAAGTCTGTTGGGATAATTAGTGAAGATTTAGGGGATGTTCCAGCTTTTATGTCACCAGCTTTGCTAGGGCCACAGGGGCAGGTGCTGGTGGCATGAAGCCTAGGAGTCATTCAGGGGCTTTGCTGTGTGGGCTATGCTTTACTGAGCCTCATGTCTTCTGGCAGTACTTTAGGAGCTGTGTTTGTGGGGATATTTGTGAGAAGGGGAGCAAAAAGACAGCGAAAATTCTGGAGGAAAAGGTATAATACAGGGACAGGAAGGAAGTCGTGTTTACTTAAAATAAAGTTGGTGGTGGTCATGTTTACTTAAAATAAAGTTGGTGGTGATGTGTGCTGGAGCTCATTCTCCTTGGATACTGCACATGCTTTTGGCAAGAGCAAAGAGGAAAGATGCAGATACAGGATCAGAAACTCTTTTTCTCCAAGAGCTGGACTGTGGTTTAAGTGGTGAATCAGCATTGTAATCAACAGTAATCAAAGGCCACTGTAGTCTTGTGTCCTGCAAGTTCTGACATTACATGCTTCTGGGTCTTTCCTGAAGTTCCTGAGCAGCAATGTCAAGCCCAGATTTCTTTTGGAAGTTAAGGATCTAATGCTCTCAGCACAGGAATTAGATCTTAAAGCACTAGACTTCTGTCTCTCTCTTTGAAATGTTGGTCCCTTCCCAATCCCCAAGTCAGTATGCCATAGCAGGATCAGGGCATAATTGTTAGTG